CAACAACGTGGTGATTTATCAGCTTTTTCAACCAACAAACATGGGGAAGCCCAGCTTGATGACGACGGCACTGCAATGTTGTTTTCCAACATGTACTGAACTTCCTTTCTTGATTATAAGCCTAAAGTTTAAATGTAGTTTCTACAATTCCTGGGGCACAAAATTGGTTTTCCCACATTTTGTGCCATAATGTTTGGTCCTTTTAAATATGTCTCACTTCCTACCAAATTTTCATCACAGGTTTAATAGTTATAGTAATGTTGCTTACCTCTCACCACTGCCATTGCTTGAATGGACACCATGGTGACTTTTCCTTAAAAATCATGACAATAATGTATCTGTCTTTATCTACATACCACTTTCAACACTTAACAAATCTGAATGTGTCCATTCATATTAATGGGTAGCCACAAAAAAGCATTTGATCGTCCTAATATCTCATTAGCTCTTTTTTTTAATTGGCAATAAGATTAAAACAACCACGGATGGTACATTTTACATATTCGCTATACAAAAGAGACGTCGCTTGCTGAGCCTGTGTGCCTCAGGGTAATTTCTTGACAATTGAGAAGAGGCCTAAATTTTGAAAATGGTCCTCACAATAGGCTTTGTCTGAAGACTGATCAAGCTGTGAGAAACACTATTGTAAAAGTGACTGAATGAATCCCATATGTGAAAAGGGGCTCTTTCCATTTTATTGTAATGCATCTTTAATGTGTTTATTTCCCTGAAAATAGTAACAACTGTGAATTTGAATGCATGAATCCTTCATGTTCTTAACCCACTCATCCAGATCCTATGTATTCATAACGTATCTTCAGTGTAATAACTGCTACACTTTGAACATTTAGACATACCTCACTTGGTTTTCTTACTCATCCAGACTATGGGGGTTTCAGGCGATTCAATTATGGATATATGTTTTTTGCTTTATGTGGAATTCAGTGGGGATGCTGGTGATGAGTCACCCACCCTTACTTACAGCCATGCTTGTTTGTCTGTAAAGAACTAATAACACCACAGAAACAAATGCAAGCTGTGTGTATTTGCTGCCACTTGGATTGGGCCATTATAATTGGTGGCTATAATTTGAAATACAATAAAAATGCTCTGCTAATGGTTTAAGATACTGGTCAGAACCAGTTGAAACAGTAAATGGAGAAATTTAGGGACAAACACAAAATTAACACAAAAAAATCTGCTTTTGCTAAGTAAAAAAGATCAGAGGGGATTCTAGTTGATTTCAATTTTTATTTTCTTTGTTTTGTTGGTCTTATTTCAGAACACCTGGTCAGGAAATGCTCAAAAATCTGGTCTCCACCATAACACTTTGCAGTTTACAACCACTCACAGGCCAGGCCTTTCTCATCAGTTTATTCAGTCTTTTGGTGTCTGATGCTGCTCCACCAGCAGACCGCAGCAAAGCACACTGCACTCGCCAAAACTGACTGACAGACA